TTGAAAGGGATCGTTTAATATTTAGGGGATGAAATGGACCAAAAACTTTATTTTTGTCGGTTTTTCTGGTCGCTCCTGAGGCCGCAATTATGGCCCAAACACCGCGCATTTTTGCATAGAGAAGGGGATCGGGCCAAAGAATAAGCATGCCTGTTTTGACAAAGATCGGTCAATATTTAGCGGGTCAAATGGACCCTGACTTTTGTGTGAAAAATGACAAAATTTGTATTCTATGGCGTATATATTTGCCCCTGAAGGACCTAGACCCAAAAAGTTGATAGTATCTTTAAGAGGAGTGGTTAACCTTTAAACTGATACCAATTTTATTGTCGTATGTACTCGGATATGGGTGTTACACTTAAATGTTTACAGGTGCTTACGTACTCAAATATTATTTAGTAACCCATTACCACACTAGAGGGCGGAAATATGGAAATATAGCACGCATCACTTTCACTAATATCCAGGTATGGTCAAGAACAACGCCTATAATTTTCGGTGATGATCAGATAATAATGTTGGGATGAAGTGGACCGAAAACGTATTTTTTGTTTGTTTTTTTCCTAGTCGATCTACCAGCCACAATTGAAAGCCGAACATCACAAAACAACCCACGTTGAAGAGAATCTGGACAAGTAATTAGAAGGACTGTACTGAATATTAGTAATATTTGTGGACCTCTGGTGGGTCATGAGGGTGCAAACATCGCGAAATATTGCCCAAGCTCAGAATGTGGTACCACAGAAAGTTATATGTTCATGGAAGTTGTGTAGGGTATCATATGGTCGGCCCCGTCCGACTATACTGCTCCGCTCACTGGTTTTTTTTTTTTTGGATTAAAATCGAATAAGGATTTTTTTTAATGCTTTTCTAATTCGATTTATTCTTTTAGACCTTAATTTATTAAACCGGACTCTAAGACCGCAATTTTCATCCTCGCAATATTCTACAAAAATATTACTTGATAGTCTCATGCAGTCATATGTTTCCAAGTTTTTCATAGCTTCACTTTTGACTACATTCAAAATTCATATGAAAATAAGTTCCTTCGAAATTTTGCTACATTATTTATATTTATTAATATTTTTAAATTTCCTGCCTCCAAAACTATAAATCGTCATAATAAATGCAAACGGACGTAACTACACTTTCACTAATTTTACGGGAGAAGCAAAAAACGTTATAAAATCTTTAAAAATAGAGCATGACTGGAAATTTTTTCAAAGTTTTACCGCACTATATAGCAGTATTTATTTAAAAATAAATATATATATATAAATATTTTTTGGTTTTTAAAGGTTTTTTTTCAGTTACGTCTAAATAGTGCCATAAAGTCCCTATATTTCTTTCGATTTGGACGAAATTTAGCATAGCGTACTGAATTGAGTCTAGAATGATGTGCGTTAAGTTTCGTTAAAATCGTTTCAGATTTAGACATAGCTCCCACAAATATTTTCGTCAGATTTTGTGAATTAAAGCCCCTATATTTCACTCAATTTGAACGAAATTTAGCATAGCGTATTGAATTTAGTGTAGAGTGATGTGTGTGAAGTTTCGTGAAAATCGGTTCAGATTTAGATATAGCTCCCATATACAGTTTCAATCGATTTTATGTAAATGTTGCACTTAGAACTTTGCACAGATAACTTTTCCACCCAGTGGTGGAAAAGTGGTGATTAGTTCAAAAAATGAAGAAAAGGCTTTAATTTGGATACCGCTATATGGGGCCTACCGTAAAAAAATGGTCGATATATCTCATTTTCAATACCACACAACCCGGAAATAACATTATTATAAGTTCAGAACTTCTATCTTCAATATTGCAAGCTTTAGTTTTGTCCAGGAGTGTAGTTACGTTCATTTGCATTTATAAAAACATATTGTTGTGGTTACGACCGTTTGAATTTTTAAATTAGATCGCTACTTTTGACGTTAGATCTCTCAATTTTTGTGTGAACATATAGTTTGATTAGACGAAAAATAATCAAACAAAAAGTCAATTTCGAATTTTTCTGTAGTTATGTCCGTTTGCATTTATGATGATGATATGTATGTATTCAAACTATGATTGTAGTAATATATTTAAAACTGAATAACAACACATTGAGACAAAGTGGATGTCATGGTCTAGGGGTAAAAATTTCTAATTGGGGATGACAGACGATATGAAATTCCCGGAAGGAAAAATAAATCAAAGTTCGAAGATGTTTGTTGGCGATCCAATTATATACGAAGAGGTTGCATCATATACTAACTTTTAGCTATTGCCACATTTTTTTTTTTTTTTTGAGATTAAAATCGAATGAGGATTTTTTTGTAGAACATTTAGTTTTTTTTTTTAATTTGATTTATTGTGAGTTCTTTAGGTCCTTAATTTATTAAACCGGATTCTAAGACCGCAATTTTCATCCTCGCAATATTTTACAAAAATATTACTTGATAGCCTCATGCAGTCACATTTTTCCAAGTTTTTCATAGCTTCACTTTTGACAAAATTCAAATGAAAATAAGTTCCTTAGAAATTTTGCTAAATTATTTATATTTATTAATATTTTTAAGTTTCCTGACTCCAAAACCTTTGCGCTTAAAATAAGGGTACCCTTATATGCCTATGCGTAAGCCGGTATAGTTCATCTTCGAACTTGACCTGCCTGCAGACAAATGACAACTCTATGCAAAATTTTGGCAATCTGTCCCTTTTCGTTTAGAGGCTAGAGTGATTACTTTTTTTTTTTACGCTGATTTAAAAATATATATCTTCAAAAATGCGAGAGTGGTAAAGGGTATCATATAGTCGGCCCCGTCCGACTATACTGCTTTCCTTACTGGTTTTTATTTCTTTTTGATTTAGTTTCGGTTAGAAATCGTCTTTGTGTGAACTTTAAAGAGTTTATGTGGGGATTTTGAAAACAATATTGGCGCTTTTATTAAAATAAACATTTGTAACCCCCAACATGAGAAAAATAAGTGTTGAAATTGAAGATCGAATAGTAGTTTTGACTGATATTGGACCGTCATGCAGACAAAGTCCCGACTTCAACCCTATAAAAATCTTGTGAGTCTATTTAAAAAAAAAGTGCCTAAACGTCAACCCAAAAATTGTACAAACCTTAAAAATCTGCAATATTAGATGGGACAACATTCCGAACGATTATGGGCCACTCGATGAAAATACGTCTACAATGTGAGCTAGATACAAAGGGCGACAAAGTATTAAAACTATGGAAATGTGTGTTCAAATTTAAAAATATAACTGTAAGTTGACCTCCCCAATTCTTGATTTTAAATTTTCAAGATTTTCATTGGGCTGGTAAATGTATACTAATGCATGTTAAGGTTTGTAACATTACACATATATAATTGAAGATTTAAAAGAGAAGTAAAATAATTTACAAGATTTAGTTGTTGTTTTTTTTTTTTTTTTTTTGGTGATTAAAGAACAGTCTTTATTTTTGATGGCGGGCATAATAACTCCTCACTGGAACATCGGAATCCGGAAAATTCCAACGGTGTTAGAAATAGTTCATGTGTGGCTCTCGTTTGAACTAGGAGTATTGACTTCGCTCAAAAATTAACAAAATGGCGGAACTTTGATTTTTTTTAATTTACCTATTTTTGGCCACAAACTTAATTAAAAAATAAGGAAGTTCTTCATCGATTGGCTTTATCCTAGTTCATACGATAGCTATACACTCCCAGAGGAACGTACCAAAATTTGGAACCGCCATTCGTAAAACACTACTTTGAGTTAAAAGTTTGAGAATCACTCTTGACGTCACTTGATGTTGACTCAATAAATCGACATTATCTTCAAGAGATCTTGAGATTTTCACTTGAAATTTCGTAGGGACATTCTTGAATTAGTGTAGATTCGAAAAACTAAACAACATTTTTTGACACCGAGAATGTGGGGAGTCCCCTTAATAAAGAAACATTTATTTTTATTACTAACAACATTGAAAAAGGCATACTGCAAATATGTCAAAAAATTGTCTAATGTACATGACGTTTATATATAGATCTCAAAAGTAAATATAAAATACAACGTTTTTACCACAGTGCCTATTTTAACAGAATCAATATGTGTTATTTTATGCCGATTTCGTGCTATTTGGAGCATTCTAATTATCAATTATGTGATCAATCGCCGTCCATATGTTTCATATTCGTTGGCTGAATGCTGTATATGTGAACGATATTTTGGCCAAATAAAAATATGGTACATTTAAATTATTTAATCTTATTTAGATATTCATATGACAGCGTGTTAAGTGGTGGGATAAAAGTGTAAAAAAAAACAACAACAGCAACAAATATGCCACTCAACACCTCATTATAGGTGATTAACCTGCAATGGCCATAATATATTTTTAATAATAACATTACACATTTAGCATTAATTTTATATTAGAGTAAAATTTACAATATTAATTTCATTTAGACTATATCAGAATAATGTAAATGTCAACATCCAATATATTCCCTTCCAATATATCCAATATATTCCCTTCTTTATGAAAGTATTAACTAGGGTATAACTAGGGCACGATGGGAATAACGAAGGTCATTAAATTTCCATCGAAAATATTGTTATATTAAATTTGTATGTGGTCTAATTAGCACATTTACATCTCATTATTATAAACCACCTTCAATCACATTTAATTGGGCAATTCCACATTAATTTACTAGCAGAGCAATGTTCTAGTGAACATTTATTGGCTGTAATGCAGAAGAAGATGTCCGACGCGGCAGCATACGTCACTGGCGTCTTGTATGCAATCAATTATTTGTTAAAGCCCATTAATTATGCCGGATTTAGACAGTTTTAAATCATTTACATTAAACAGATCCATAATAAATTTCGATAATTTACTGCCACCTATCAACAAGGTGTCTGCCGGTTGGATGGTGGTAGGTGGTGGTGGCTGAGTTTTTATGAATGTGAAAAATGAATTAATTTTTATGTAATTTTTCGTTTTTATTTTTTCTTATGACAGAGGTGCCACTGCCACCTGCTCACAAATTAACAATGGATGAGGTCTATGATCCCAAAACGAACAAACCAAATTATGATGTCTTGCGACAACATTTCCTACTGGAAGGACGCATCGAAGAAGAACCTGCCATGAGAATAATAACTGAGGGTGCGGCTTTGCTGCGGAATGAGAGTAATATGATAGATGTTGAGGCACCCATTACCGTGTGCGGTGATATACATGGACAATTTTTCGATTTGGTAAAACTATTCGAAGTTGGTGGCCCACCAGAGTCTACAAGATATTTATTTTTGGGTGATTATGTCGATCGTGGTTATTTTAGTATAGAGGTAAGTGTGTTAGAAATAAACTTTTTTTAATTTATGGAAGTTTAATATTGTTTTTTTCTTCATTTCAGTGTGTCCTATATTTATGGTCGTTAAAAATCTGTTATCCTGATACATTATTTCTGCTGCGCGGTAATCATGAATGCAGACATTTAACAGAATATTTTACCTTTAAACAGGAATGTAAGTATGCACAAAATATTCTTTAAAAAATCCACGCCTTGATAGGTCTTTGGAAAAAATATTCTTTAAAAAATCCACGCCTTGATAGGTCTTTGGAAAAAATATTCTTTAAAAAATCCACGCCTTGATAGGTCTTTGGAAAAAATATTCTTTAAAAAATCCACGCCTTGATAGGTCTTTGGAAAATATATTCTTTAAAAAATCCACGCCTTGATAGGTCTTTGGAAAAAATATTCTTTAAAAAATCCACGCCTTGATAGGTCTTTGGAAAAAATATTCTTTAAAAAATCCACGCCTTGATAGGTCTTTGGAAAAAATATTCTTTAAAAAATCCACGCCTTGATAGGTCTTTGGAAAAAATATTCTTTAAACCAGTGAGCGGAGCAGTATAGTCGGACGGGGCCGACCATACGATACCCTACACAACTACCACGAACTCTAACTTTCTGAGGATGTTTATTCCGAGTCTGAGTAATATTTCGTGATATTTGCCCCCTCTTGTCCGATTAGAGGTTAACAACACCTCTTCCTTACTTTTTTCGAATATTCAGTACAGTCCTTCTAATTACTTGTCCAGATTACCTTCACGGTGGGTTGTGTTGTGATTTTCGGATTATACTCTACTCGAAAACACACAAAAAATTATGTTTTCCATTTCATCCCAAAAAATCTGATCATCACCGAAAATTGTAGGCGTTGTTCTTGACCATAACTGGAACTTCATGAAAAATTTCAAAGCCATCAGCGCGATATTTCCCCCTCTAATGTGGTAATTGGTTACTAAATAATATCTGAATACGTAAGCACCTGTAAATATTTGACTGTAACTTCCACATCTGAGTAGATACATCACTATATTTGGTATCAATTTAAAGGCCAACCACTCCTCTTAGAAAATTAACTCCTGGGGTCTACATCCTCCAGGAGTAAATATATATGCCATAGAATACAAATTTTGTCATTTTTCACACAAAAGTCAGGGTCCATTTGACCCGCTAAATATTGACCGATCTTTATCAAAACATGCATGCTTATTCTCTGGCCCGATCCCCTTCTCCATGCAAAAATTCGCGGTGTTTGGGTCATAATTGCGGCCTCTGGATACCAGAAAAACCGACAAAAATTTAGTATTTAAAAAATCCACGCCTTGATAGGTCTTTGGAGAAAATCCTAAATATTAAAATCTTTTCCAAAAACAAAATCTTCACGCCTTGATAGGTCTTTGGATGCAAAATTTCTTGAAAAAATCCATAACTGTGGCCTGTATCGTGTTTACAAATTATAATTGATAGGTCTTTGGAAAAAACACACTGTCTAAAAAATCCTAGTCGAGATATACGATCGGTATACTTAAAGGTGGGTCTAGGACCAATATTTCGCGGCGTTACAAACATTTGGGGCTGCACAAAGCTATAATACCCTGACAACATAGTTGTGTAGGGTATAAAAATCCACGCCTTGATAGGTCTTTGGAAAAAATATTCTTTAAAAAATCCACGCCTTGATAGGTCTTTGGAAAAAATATTCTTTAAAAAATCCACGCCTTGATAGGTCTTTGGAAAAAATATTCTTTAAAAAATCCACGCCTTGATAGGTCTTTGGAAAAAATATTCTTTAAAAAATCCACGCCTTGATAGGTCTTTGGAAAAAATATTCTTTAAAAATCCACGCCTTGATAGGTCTTTGGAAAAAATATTCTTTAAAAAATCCACGCCTTGATAGGTCTTTGGAAAAAATATTCTTTAAAAAATCCACGCCTTGATAGGTCTTTGGAAAAAATATTCTTTAAAAAATCCACGCCTTGATAGGTCTTTGGAAAAAATATTCTTTAAAAAATCCACGCCTTGATAGGTCTTTGGAAAAAATATTCTTTAAAAAATCCACGCCTTGATAGGTCTTTGGAAAAAATATTCTTTAAAAAATCCACGCCTTGATAGGTCTTTGGAAAAAATATTCTTTAAAAAATCCACGCCTTGATAGGTCTTTGGAAAAAATATTCTTTAAAAAATCCACGCCTTGATAGGTCTTTGGAAAAAATATTCTTTAAAAAATCCACGCCTTGATAGGTCTTTGGAAAAAATATTCTTTAAAAAATCCACGCCTTGATAGGTCTTTGTAAAAAATATTCTTTAAAAAATCCACGCCTTGATAGGTCTTTGGAAAAAATATTCTTTAAAAAATCCACGCCTTGATAGGTCTTTGGAAAAAATATTCTTTAAAAAATCCACGCCTTGATAGGTCTTTGGAAAAAATATTCTTTAAAAAATCCACGCCTTGATAGGTCTTTGGAAAAAATATTCTTTAAAAAATCCACGCCTTGATAGGTCTTTGGAAAAAATATTCTTTAAAAAATCCACGCCTTGATAGGTCTTTGGAAAAAATATTCTTTAAAAAATCCACGCCTTGATAGGTCTTTGGAAAAAATATTCTTTAAAAAATCCACGCCTTGATAGGTCTTTGGAAAAAATATTCTTTAAAAAATCCACGCCTTGATAGGTCTTTGGAAAAAATATTCTTTAAAAAATCCACGCCTTGATAGGTCTTTGGAAAAAAAAAATATTCTTTAAAAAATCCACGCCTTGATAGGTCTTTGGAAAAAATATTCTTTAAAAAATCCACGCCTTGATAGGTCTTTGGAAAAAATATTCTTTAAAAAATCCACGCCTTGATAGGTCTTTGGAAAAAATATTCTTTAAAAAATCCACGCCTTGATAGGTCTTTGGAAAAAATATTCTTTAAAAAATCCACGCCTTGATAGGTCTTTGGAAAAAATATTCTTTAAAAAATCCACGCCTTGATAGGTCTTTGGAAAAAATATTCTTTAAAAAATCCACGCCTTGATAGGTCTTTGGAAAAAATATTCTTTAAAAAATCCACGCCTTGATAGGTCTTTGGAAAAAATATTCTTTAAAAAATCCACGCCTTGATAGGTCTTTGGAAAAAATATTCTTTAAAAAATCCACGCCTTGATAGGTCTTTGGAAAAAATATTCTTTAAAAAATCCACGCCTTGATAGGTCTTTGGAAAAAATATTCTTTAAAAAATCCACGCCTTGATAGGTCTTTGGAAAAAATATTCTTTAAAAAATCCACGCCTTGATAGGTCTTTGGAAAAAATATTCTTTAAAAAATCCACGCCTTGATAGGTCTTTGGAAAAAATATTCTTTAAAAAATCCACGCCTTGATAGGTCTTTGGAAAAAATATTCTTTAAAAAATCCACGCCTTGATAGGTCTTTGGAAAAAATATTCTTTAAAAAATCCACGCCTTGATAGGTCTTTGGAAAAAATATTCTTTAAAAAATCCACGCCTTGATAGGTCTTTGGAAAAAATATTCTTTAAAAAATCCACGCCTTGATAGGTCTTTGGAAAAAATATTCTTTAAAAAATCCACGCCTTGATAGGTCTTTGGAAAAAATATTCTTTAAAAAATCCACGCCTTGATAGGTCTTTGGAAAAAATATTCTTTAAAAAATCCACGCCTTGATAGGTCTTTGGAAAAAATATTCTTTAAAAAATCCACGCCTTGATAGGTCTTTGGAAAAAATATTCTTTAAAAAATCCACGCCTTGATAGGTCTTTGGAAAAAATATTCTTTAAAAAATCCACGCCTTGATAGGTCTTTGGAAAAAATATTCTTTAAAAAATCCACGCCTTGATAGGTCTTTGGAAAAAATATTCTTTAAAAAATCCACGCCTTGATAGGTCTTTGGAAAAAATATTCTTTAAAAAATCCACGCCTTGATAGGTCTTTGGAAAAAATATTCTTTAAAAAATCCACGCCTTGATAGGTCTTTGGAAAAAATATTCTTTAAAAAATCCACGCCTTGATAGGTCTTTGGAGAAAATATTCTTTAAAAAATCCACGCCTTGATAGGTCTTTGGAGAAAATATTCTTTAAAAAATCCACGCCTTGATAGGTCTTTGGAGAAAATATTCTTTAAAAAATCCACGCCTTGATAGGTCTTTGGAGAAAATATTCTTTAAAAAATCCACGCCTTGATAGGTCTTTGGAGAATATATTCTTTAAAAAATCCACGCCTTGATAGGTCTTTGGAGAAAATATTCTTTAAAAAATCCACGCCTTGATAGGTCTTTGGAGAAACTATTCTTTAAAAAATCCACGCCTTGATAGGTCATTGGAGAAAATATTCTTTAAAAAATCCACGCCTTGATAGGTCTTTGGAGAAAATATTCTTTAAAAAATCCACGCCTTGATAGGTCTTTGGAGAAAATATTCTTTAAAAAATCCACGCCTTGATAGGTCTTTGGAGAAAATATTCTTTAAAAAATCCACGCCTTGATAGGTCT